AATATTTCTCAGTCAACATTCTCAACCATATTGCATGATCAATTTTATTTGACCAAAATTATTTAATTATCAGTATTGCACACTTATTGTTTAATTTACATTGTCCAATTGTTATCATTATCTCTTCATATTTCTTAGCTCTACTATAATTACAACAAATCAAGCTTGAACATATTCTTTTTGTACTCTTATCATTTAGAATTGAGGAGAATAGTAATACCTTATAATTTTACTTATATAATGAATCATTTCATCTGAAACTTCCTATATTTTCTTTCTTTTTATTTTTTTTCATATAAAAACTTTAGTATTTCATATATTTCTATCACATGCCTATGTGTATAACATCTTTTTAGCAAAATTAGGATGCAAAACCACACTATTAATGCAATTTTTCTATAATATAGCAATAAATATTTTTAAAATAAATATAACGGCTATGAGAATTCAATTTAAATAAATTTGAATTAAAATATTTCAACCTAATTTTTTACATTCATTGTTTGATTGGCGTTGTCCATAAGTATTACCCAATCATCATTGCTTGACCACTATTGTTCGATCGATTTAATCAGACCAACATTAGTTAATTATGATTTTGCATAGTTATTGTCTAACTAATATTGTGTAATTGTTATCATTATTTTCTTAACATTTTTAGCTCAACAATAGTTACAACAAATCAAGCTTTAGTCCATTAGTTTATATTTGTATTTTTTAGAAATGTGGATAAGACCAAAACCTTATAATTTGACCTATATAATGAATCATTTCATCCCGAACTCCCTATTTTTTTCTTTTTTAATTTTTTCCATATAAAAACTAGAATTTCTCATGTATTCTTATGAGTTATCTTTGTATAACTTATATTTGCAACATTAAGACTTGACCCCTCTACTGATATATTTTTTTTATAATGTAACAACACTTCATTTTAAAATAAATTTAAAGATTGAGATTGATTTTAAGTTAATTTGAATCAAATATTCCAACCTAATTTCCGAACTTTATTATTTGTTTGGTGTCGTCCATCAGTATTGCCCAATTATCATTGCTCGACCACCATCATTCAATCGGTTTAATCAGGCCGCCATTATCTAATTGTCATTGCTGCATAGTAATTGTCAAACTATAGTTATAACAAATCAAACTATTTTGTATAATGCATCATTTCATCTCGTACACCCCACATTTTTTGTTGTTGTTTTTTTGGTTTTTTCATATAAAAACTATGTTTTCTCGCATATTCTTATCATATATTTTTGTAAGACATCTTTTTGCAAATTTAAGATACAAAATCACATGATTTACTGATGTAAATTTTTTTTTTATATTGTAACATTATTTATTTATTTTTAATAAATTTAATTAATATGGGATTCCTTTTAAATAATTTTCAATCAAAATATTTAAATCTAGTTTCTGAGTTTTATTGTTTGATTGATATTGTCAAGCAGTATATGTTGTCCAAACATCATTGCTCAACGATTATTGTTCGATCAATTTATTTGACTTCATTGATTTAATTAAGGTTGTAGCATATTTATTATCTAATTAGCATTGTCTAATTGTTCTTATTATTTTTTCATCATTTTTAGTTCAAACTGCATGTATAACAACTTTGATTTCTCGTACATTCATATCATTTGTTTGTGAGTATACCATCTCTCACAAAATTATGATGCAAAAATACAATCCAGTGATTGAATTTTTTTATAATGTAATGACACTTTTAAAATAAAGTAAATGACTGAGATTTTTTAAAAATAAATTTGAATCAAAATATTCTAACCTAATTTATGACCTTTATTATTTGATTGGTGTTGTCTATTAGTATTGCACAATCATCATTGCTCAACCACTATTGTTCGATCAATTTAATACGACCACCATGATCTAACTATCATTGTTGCACAACCATTGTCTAACTAATATTGTCTAATTGTTGTCATTATCCCTTCATCGTTTTTCGCTCAACTATAATGTCAACAAATCAAGTTTAAATGCATTATTTTGTATTCTTATCTTTTAGACTCGCAGAAAAGAGTAAAATCTTA